AGATTTATAAAAATGGGTTAATTTAAGATATAAGAACAGTTAGCAAGAAGCCTGCCACGGCCATACAGTTTATAAGTGATATAAACATCTGAGTGATTATTTTATAAGTGGATTGTGGGACTGCGGGGCTTGGGGAACCTGGAGAGAAGCCCTCCAGCAACACATGCACTTGCCCATGATGAAAATCATTGCTGAATTTTCACAGATACTTTCACTTTATCACGGGCCATTTTTTTTTTCCCCTCCCATGTCAGATAATTTCTGTTTGATGAGGGATGGCTTCTTCTTTCTCGGCTATTTCTGCTGAGCAGCGATTCAGCACTTCATGGGCCCGGAGGTTAGCACTGGCATGTAAGGATGGTGTGTAGGATAGTGTGTCTGTGAAAAGCCAGTGGAGAAGACGCACCACTGAGGCTGGACTCTTCCTTATCTGGACAGCAGCTGCGGGAGACTTGTTGGCTTCTGTATTGTTTTGTGCACCACTTTTTACCATCTCTAATCTTGCTCTGTGTTGATAACAGCAAACACCCTCCGTTCTATTTGCGGCAAGAGAGGAGGTCTTAGCACCGACTTTGCCCATCCCCTCTTTAAGGGGACCTTAAACCTTGTACAACTGGAATCGTTTTTCTTTCCCAAGATTACAGAAAACCTACAAGAGCCTGGAAAGCCCGAGAGAACCACTTTGGTACAATTAACTCTCTCACTGCCGCTTCTGTGGAGAACTCAGACTAGTGGTCTTGACCTTCCTTTAGCGTGCCCTCCATTCAACCCTCAGGCCTCTGGAGCTCGGGGAACTCTTGACACAGAAAAGGGAAGGTTGGCAGTCTCCTATCCTACTCACACACCCTGTTTCTCCATTCTCTTTGAGGACTCAGGTGCACTGTCCTGCTTTTATTGCAGTTAGGGGTTTTTATTTGTTTTATTTATTTTTTCACTATAGGCATTTTAAGTTTGATCTTATTTTAGAACACAATGCTGGTTCAGAATTTAAATTAACGCCTTGCTGATTTGTGAATGAATATAGGGCTCCTTTTAAGGGGCTTGAAGTATGTGTTGCCTCCTCAGAATCTGAGCATAGTACTGGGCTTGAGAAAGATGGCTTTCTCAATGGAATAATTTATCATTGCCAGAGGTAACATGAAATTATTAATTTTTTCCTTAAAGCATGTTCTTTGTAAATGTTTTCTGGAGAGACATGAATTGAAATTAATGATGTTCCCTCTTGTTAAGACTTCATTTTATTTCATGTATTCTGTTGACCCCTGAGAGAATATCCGATCTAGAGAGAAGGAAAGATAAAACGCCACTGAAAGTCCTGCAGGCGCTCCAGTGACTAGAGTTAACTTCCTGTCACCATCTGTGCCCCTTCAAGCTACAGGAGCACTTTTGTTCTTGTGGAGGGATCCAATGAGGGCTTGGGGTCCTGGGGATTGGACTCAGGGCCACACTTATGCTGAGCACGTGCTCTACCGCTGAGCTACACCCAGGCTCCATGTTGTGTATTTGGGTGTCTTAGGTTTATTAGAATTCCACATGCATTTCATTTTAGTTTAAAAATATCCTGGTTTCTGGAAACACAATAAAAGTAATGTTTGCAGCTGGAGTGATGTGTATCCTAGCTCAAAAAAGAGTCTATTGTACTATGTAATATACACATACATGTGCGCAGGTGCACACAAACCCACACCTACACACACACACACACACACACACACGACACACACATTAATTTAACTTGTCAATAGTGGTAAAGGTATTCTTTCTTTTAAACTGGCTGGTTCAGAGTTCTGATTATGGCCAGTAAAAACAGTGCTCCCCCACTTCCTCATTCCTGACATTTGTGCTCTGTGGGAGACTGGGGTTGGTGCCAGGTGCGGTCCTTGAGTTGAAGAGCCACCTGTGTCTGAAGTTCTGTGAGTTCCTGCAGATTTTGTTGATGGAGACTTTAGCCTATCTCCTATTATCTATAGTCTGTGCTGGCTAGTTTCATGTCAGCTTCACACAAACTAGCGTCACGTGGGAAGAGGGAACCTCATTTGCGAAGATACCCCGCACCAGACTGGCCCGTGGTGCCCTTTCCTGATTGACGTGTATCACTGTGGGCACTGCTGCTCCTCTGCTGTGGCCCTGGGTTCTGTAAGAAAGTGGGCTGAGAGAGCCACAAGAAGGGAGGGAGCCAGCAAGCAGTATCCCTCCCTGGCTCCTGCATCAGTTCCTCCCTCCAGACTCCTGTTTCAGATACTTCTCCTTCCCTTCATGATGGTCTGTGATAGGAACATGTAAGCCGATATAAACCCTGTCCTTCCCAACTTGCTTTTGGTCATGGTGCTTTATCACAGCAATAGAAACTCCAACTCAAACATGGTTCACAATTCCTAGTGTATTTCCAGGCTCCTGTAGTGCCTGAGCTAGCTTCATGTGCATCCTTTTCCATGACCACCACATATCCAAGACTCCTTTCTGTGACTGGTTGTCATTTCCCGTAAGCAGTGGGTTCATTTTGGCTCCTGGGGGTGGGCTGCCTTACTCCACTCTTCCTCCTCCATTTTTTTCTTAAGGAAGTTCATCTTGTTAAAGAGTTTACTAGTTGTCAGCACAGAAAGGGCACTGTGTGTGTGTGTGTGTGTGTGTGTGTGTTTATAGATGTGTGTATGTATATGTATATGTGTATGTATATGTATATAGGTGTGTGTGTATAGGTGTGTGTATGTATATAGATGTGTATGTATGTATATAGGTGTATGTGTATAGATGTGTGTATGTATATAGGTGTGTGTGTGTGTGTGTGTGTGTGTGTGTGTGTGTGTGTGTGTGTGTGTCTCCAGGGTAATCAGAACACCATAGGCATCAACTTTGGAAAGGGCCAGGACAGGGTCTCCTCTTCTGCCCTCTTTCCTTGCTTATCTCTGGAAGACACTGTACTGGCTCTCTTCCACATACTCCATCTCTGCTAAATGCATTACATTTCTTCACAACCCCTCTCTTCATCTGTGAAGTTGACCCAGGGCTTTCCTGAGGGCCTAACAATGCAGTGAAGGGGTGTGTGTGTGTGTGTGTGTGTGTGTGTGTGTGTGTGTGTGTGTGTTGACAGATAGATACTAACAAACACTTGAGGTTTCTCCAAAAGGATCCAAGTTTGACACATCTTTAAGCTGTCCTTTGCTTTATGCAGTAAAGGGCAGAATGGATCATGCCATAACCGGGGACCCTAAAGGACAAGGAAACTCAATTAAAATTGACTTAATTTCTAAGGCTCTCTCCAAATTATAACCCATAAATGCTGCTGTGTTAATAGAAGTTTCAGCCATAAATTATCTCCTGTCTCCTCACAAGAAAGCAACAGGGCAGTAATACACTGTGTCCGTCCAGCCATGTCAACTGGGTGGCTCCTCATCTGGGGTGTGAAGAGAGGGTAGGGTCATGATGTCTTTGTGGAGGAGAGCGGTACAGGTGAGGGAGGCCTAGTCCTCAAGGGCCTGGTCTCTCACACTTCATGTCTTCCTTCCCTCGGAACTCATTGAGAAATATGTGGCGTGTTGTGTTCCTACTTTATCTCGTCCTGTTATGGAATTCCATGTACTCTTTAATGCTGTTTACAGTCTGGTATCAAGAGAGAAAAACTGTTAAATTTTTAACACCGTTTCATACATGAGAAATAGTTAAGAATCAGAAACCAAGGAAATACATGTAAGCTTGAGAAGAGCTGTCTACACTACAGTTAGTAAATGTGGAGACAACCATTGCTTTTGTTAACATGTATATTCTTTTAAATTTAGGAATAGAAGGACAGTCAATGGAAGTTTCTAATATTGTGAACATTGAAAATGTGCATAACCGTGAGATTGTAATGAGAATTTCATCTAAAATAAACAACCACAATAGATTTTATACTGACCTAAATGGATACCAGGTAATTTTCTCTAAAATCACTGTAACAGTTGTATTTGTGTGTAATTTTTTATGCATATATTTATGTGGTATATACAGGGGATGTATATGTTTATGTGTGTAATTTTTATGTAGGATAATTGTCCAGTTAATTTTGAGTCATTTGAAAACTATTTCTAAAGTTGAAAACTATTTCTAGAATAAAACCAAATTTTAACAGACATTTATAGGTTCTATAATCAGATTTCCAAAGTTAAAACAAATCTTTGAGAGAGATCATGTTTTTAGAGTATTTATTTGTAAAAGTTTATTCTTTCAAATGGAAAGATGGGGGCTAGAGAAAGTGCTTGCTTGAAGAAAACCTGGTTCAGGTCCCAACACCCATGTCAGGTCCTCACAACCACTTGTAATTCTAGACTTAGGGGATTTGGCCTATCTGGGCACCTACATGCACATGGTACGTATAAACTCACACAGACACACACAGACACAGACACAGACACACACACACACACATACACCCCTACACATATGTTTTTAAAAAATTAAATATTTAAAAATGAGAATTTGATGACTTTAAATACTCTGCTAAAACTATAAATATGAATTTATTAGAAAGGAAACATAATTAGGGTTTGAAAGATATCCTTTCTACATAAAGAACTCATGTATACATTTCATTTATTCCTTGTGATATAATAATGACATCTTTTAAGTTTTATGATAGTCTGTTAGCATTGAGTGGGTGTGCACATTTATACATGCATGCAGGTACATAGAGAAGTATATGCCACTTTAAAAATGTGGGCTGCTATATATTTAATCAAAATCATCATACAACAACTCTAAATATAGTAAGAAAATCAATTCTTGCATTTTATTTTTATATTATTGATTCTTTTAATAGTACTTAAGAGAGCTCTTTGAATTGTTATTTTAAATTTCTATTATTTTCAATGTGTGACAGTGTGTCTTTGAATAACACCACTAAAAACATGAGCAAATTTTTTAAACATTAGCATTTCAAAATTCCTGGCTATGAATAGAAATAATTTCACAACATATGCTTTTTACTTGGTCTGATTTTCAACCGGCTATAAGTGGAAAGGGCTGGATAATTTCCTCTTCTATGATTTCCTGCAAAAAAAGTTAAAATTAAACCTTCTCCAGAGAACAGAAATTGCAGCGTACATTTTGATTAGCATGTGAATTCGACTCCAGCCCTTAGGTTTTCAAATGAAACTCTGACTTTATGGCAATTCATTTTTCTTACATACAAAAGAAAGTATTTTCTTAAAATCCCACAGAAATAAGTGTTTGTATGTATTGGTGTGCACATGAATAAGAAAACTTAGTAAAAAGTGAATTGCTAAAAATGTGCATTTTCATTCCAGTGGTCAAACAAGTGTTGATATTATTTCAAGTCCACAATGTAAATATTTCTTAAAATAAACCCCATTTTAACCCATGGAAATGGTAGTTCTTGGGCAGAACTGGAGAGAGACTCGGGTAGGGAGTGGGAAGAGCCGGAACACGACTGAGGCGTCTTTACACGTCATTTCATAATTTTAAACGATACAGTCCAGTCAGGGTGCGAAGAGTGGGATTGTTAAGAGGAGTAGAGAATTCTTTGACAGTATCCTGCCTGCTTCCATCCTCCCTTGCCTCCGTCCCATCTTTCTTCCTCTCCACGTCTCTCCTCCACTCCATCTCTGTCCTGTCTTAACTGCTGTATTCCTTCCTTAGTGTTGCAAAGCATTTGTATTACCACAAACTGAGCATCTTAAAAGAACGGAACTTTGTTCTTTCATTCTCTTGGAAACCGATTGTCTGAAGTCAGGCTGTGTGCAAGGCCACATTCCCTGCACAGACTCTAGTGAAGCACCCTCCCTTGCTGCTTCCTAGCTTCTCAAGTTTGCATATAGGTGATCCCTGGCGTTGCTGGGTGTGTGGCTGTGCCTCCCAGCCTCTTCTTCTAGTGTCACATGTTTTTTATAACATTGCCACTGTACGTGTCTCTCTGTGTCCACATTTCTTTCTTACAAGGATGCTAGGTTTTGGTCATGTCAATTTCTGAAAAGACACTTACCTCAAAGTAAGATCAGTTTCACAGATTATAGCTAAATATGAATTTGAAGAGACTCAGCATAACCAGTAGGTGGTGGGGGCTTGTTGGGGAGGCTGAAGGTCAGATCTGGGACATGCTTCGTCAGGACCACCCTTCCATGGCTGGGTACGCAGCTCATGTGAGGCACTCTCTTAACTTTCTGCCTTTACTATTTTTGAGTTTCGTTTTATACTTTCACAAGTTTAAAGAAGGAAATGGCGTTTTTTAAGTGGTGTGAGTAAAATCCAATGGTAACAGGGTCCTGAGGATATAAAATGCTTTCAGGTGCTGACAGTCTCTCAAAAGGTAAAATTCTGTTTCATGCATTCAAACACGAGGATGCAAAATACTGGTATTCAGAAGTATCTCGATTTAAAATAAACAAGAGTAAACACTGATTTTTTTAAAACTATAAGTATGCACTTTATTATAATGTAATATGTTAGAGGATTTGGTGGCAATCTCTGCGGTATTTATTAAAACTGATTCAAGAATAATAGATAGTTCTTGAATGGGGACAGTGAGTTATTGTGCTTAGCATTCATTACAAAAGCAGCATGTTAGATCTCAATGAGAAATGAATACTTAATACCTTCATAATTTGTTTTATGCAAATATGGAAACTACATGACTTCTGCCGGGCATTTTTTATTGTGACTTTAAATAATGCCTGTTTTAAAATCCGGACAAGTTCTACCTTTCACATTTAAAAATTGTCTTCTAAGAGCCTTGTGATTTCTCTGCAAATGATTTTAAGGAGTGTTTTAATTTTTAAATATTTCTTTGCTTGAACAAGAACAGAAGTTATGCCTTTTTCTCTTTGGGAAAGAGATAACTAAATAATCTAATTTATGAAAGTATATGTGTAAATAATACATTTATAAAACGAGAATTGCTTGGCTTCATAGATCCAGCCTAGAAGGACAATGAGCAAATTGCCTCTTCAAGCCAATGTTTACCCAATGAGTACGATGGCCTACATCCAGGATGCCGAGCACCGGCTCACACTGCTCGCCGCTCAGTCTTTAGGCACTGCCAGCATGGCTTCCGGTATGTGTTGTTTCATAGTCTGCTCGGAGGTCCGAGTGTGTAATATTTCTGTGGTCAAACATATTAATTATCCCCTCCATGAGCTGCTTTCCTTTAAGAATGAGACAAGTAGTTAACTCAGGTTTTATGAGGACGATATAAGATGGTTGTCCTCAGTCTTCAGATAAGGATGCCACAGTTGTTTTTAGAGGTAAGTGTATTTGTTAGTTTTTCATTGTGACAGAATGCCTGAAACTTTAGGCAAGGAATCTACATTTTGGCTCATGACTTCAGGCTTCCAGCCATAATCACTTGGCTCTTGACTTTAAACTGTAGTGAGTTGACAGTCTGGTTGTTATAAAGAGAAAATGAAAGAGACAGGGAGAGGAAGCGAAAGAGGGTGGACCTGAGGTCACAGGTCTACCTTTCAGACTTTGGACCAATGACCCCCTTCAACTAGACCCTGCCTTTGTAACAGCTCATTCAGCTGCGAACATATCAGTGAGTTACTATTAATGAAGTTAGTTTTGATCTAGTCACTGCCGAGTGGCCCTGAACTAGGGACCAGGCCTCCAACACAAAGGCTTTGAGAACCACATTTCATGTACAGATTGCAGCTGTAATTTACTTTGGCTAGTCTGTCATGTCCAAAGATCTGTGTTGTCATCATGATGGGATTGGAAACCTCAAAGTCTAGAAGCTTAGACAGTTTGCAAAAGTGATATTGTAGTTCAAACATACAGTGTTGTTTTCCTGGATTGTGGTACTATGACCTGCCCCTCAAAAGACTTACATGTTGAAGACCTGCTCCTGTAGCCATGATGCTATTGGAAAATGGTTGCTAAGCAGTAATGGAGGAAAGCAGAAATGACAATGTGTTTTATGTATCTTTAGTAGCTACTTTGACCTAAGATCAAAAGGCAGCCTGTCATCTCATAGAGTATCTGGGTCCCCTCCTTCACTCAAGGGGACCTTAGTTCAAAGCGAGGCACCTGGGTTTCTATTTAAGCAGTGTCCTCAGTGAATATCTGCATAAAATTATCCTGGTCATATTTCTTTATCTCTTTGATTTTAGGTCAAATTGAAGTCTTCATGGATCGAAGACTCATGCAAGATGATAACCGTGGCCTTGGGCAAGGTGTACATGACAATAAGATTACAGCTAATTTGTTTCGAATCCTGCTGGAGAAGAGAAATGGTGTAAACATGGTAGGGATCCCTAAACACTAAGTGTTTCTTATGTTGGTGGTTCTTTCTCCCCATAATTCAAAGTGATAACTTAAAATTTTAGTCCAGTTTCTAATTTTGAGAAGTTTGTATAATAGAGTCAGCTTATAGTTAGAGGAATATTTCAGTTAGAAATATTGAATAAGAGCTACATTTGGGCCATATTGTTTTTTACTTTTCTTTACTATATTGCCAAATATTAATCCAAGGAAGCAGTTTGGATGAGATTATTTTCAAAGAAAAGACTGGTCTGTTGGCCTGAGAATTAGAGACTAGATGGTTGAACTATACTGTGGATTCTAAACCTTAGTGACTGTACCATAGTCTAAAGCTTACGGTTTCACAACAGACTGACTTTCATATCAGTATTTATTGCCCTACATAAGATCCCAGCACTTTGTTCATCAGTGGGACAGAAGCTGAACCACAGGTGAGCAACCTGTGTCTTCTCACCGATACCAGTATTGACGCCAAAAATTGACCACTGGCTTGTCGACACACACACACACACACACACACACACACACACACACACACACACACCCCGACCCGTTGAGTCTTCTGTCACCCACGTGTCTTCCATGCCTCTCAGCACTTCTGCACTAGGCTGACTGGTTTTCTTTCGGTGCCGAGTTCTTCCCATTCCCTCTTGCTCTGCGGCATCTTAGCACCCGCCCTTTCCTCCTTCCTGTCAAGGGAGTTCTTTGCGGTACTTCAGACCGGAGCTTGCTTTTTCCTTGCCCGCATCATCTCCTCTTGTGCCCCCTCTGGACTGTCCATCTCCTGGTCATGCTTGTGTATGATTAGCTGGCCAGTCTTTTTTCCTGCTTTGGGCCATAAACTCCGTGAGAGTAGAGACTGTGTCCTTCTCTGCTTCTAGGATCATTTCTGTTTAGAGGAAGGCCCAATGTGCCATGTGAATGGATGCGCAGATGTGTAGGTGGATGAGGTTGCGGAGCCTGGTGTGCTGTGTTGGAATTGAGCACACCTCATAGTTGTCCTCCTTCTAGACTCTTGGAACGTGTCCGCCTTGTCTTCAGGCATCATGGGGCCTCTTTGCCCATGTAGACAGTTTGTGTCTACAAATAGACAAATAGATTGATGGGATGAAAGCAGACGATTTAAAATAAGCAATTCCATAGTATTTAGAATGAAATTAGGAAAAAATAATTAATATTTTTTTTAGATATTAAAATTTGTATCAGCTCAGTTTAAAGAGAGAAACCTGTGTTGGTTTCTTCTCTCCATGTCGACACTAACATATACAATTTCTGTTACTATAGCAATAAAGAATTTCATTTAGACCCTCTCACTTAAAGTTATACAATTTGTTGATTCCATTCAAAACTCCTTGGATAGCAATTGATTTAAATTTGATCCAATATTTCTATAATCCCATGTTAGTGAAATTTTGCTTTTACTTAACTATAGATTCTAGGGCTTGAATCCATAGCTTTTAAATAAAAAATGAACTAGAGAATAAACTAGACATTTTAATTTGTAGTGAAATTGATTTAAAAGACACTGGATCAAGAAATGGTGTGTGGCCCATGGTTTAACTTTTCTAGAGTGTTTTTAATTTCAACCGTTCTAATGTTCAAAGTATCGATGTTGAGAGACAGTTGGGACTGACCTATTCTGGTGATGGGATGGCCAAACACCCTAATAGTTGTGCCAGAAATCCCATCCAA